TCCTCTCCTCCCTCCCTTCCTCCTTCCTCATCCCTTCTTCATCCATCCCTCCTCCTTCCCTCCCTCCTCCCTCCTCCCTCCTCCATACTCCATACTCCATACTCCTCTCACCTTCCTCCTCTCCTCCTTCCCTTTCTCCTCCCTCCCCTCCTTCCTCTTCCCTCGTTCTCCCTTCCCCCGCTTTTTCCTGCTTGCTTCCCTCTCTCGTACTTCGTCGTCAATCTCTCCTCTCTTATTCCCCTTGTCCTCTCCTCCATCATTCGCTGCTCCTTCCTTTGTGCTTCCCTCCTCTCATTGTTCCCTATCTTCTTTCTTCCGTGACCCACCTTCCTTCTTCATCTATTTTCGTTCTTGCATCCCATTTCCTTGTGCTCGCCCCTTGCTCATCTACACTTCTTTGCCCTCTCGTCCTTCATCTCCTCACAACCCTCCTCCACTTCTTTCATACCTCCTTAAAGCACTTCCCCTCATGTTTTACCTCTCCATTTCGCTCCCTTGCCCTGCTGTTCTGTTTCCTTCCTAACGTTCTCGCAGGTCTGCAGAGCCGATCATATGCTGTCGGCGATGTGGCGCCGTGGAAGTCTGTGAACGTGGCGTCGCAGCTGCATCTATCGCAGGTCATGCATCAATCGTATCAAGACTTGCTCTTGCTCTTCGTCTCCTGCTCGTGCTCTTGCCCTTGAGCTCTCGCTCCTGCTCCTGATTCTGACATCATGTACAGATGGACTTACCACATGACGACTTAGCAAGAGGGTATTATCAGGGGTTCCGAGCAGGCAAGCAGGCAGGAAGGTAAGTGACTAACCTTGCTCTGTCCTCCCTCTCTCTCAAGCTCTTCACAGCGGGCTGGACGGAGTGATCGCGGGAGCGACCGCAGCATACTACAAGTTTCATCATTGAGAGTTGCCCTCATGTAAAAGATAGAAGAAGCTCTTTATATCCTACATATGCACACGATCCCTCGCTCCCTGCCTACTTGGCGTCCACGTTCTCATCTTCCCCCTGCCAACATCGTCAGGCTAGCAGACACAGTGAGCATGTCAGAAGTCTGCAAACCTCGCCATTCTCCCCCTCCTCGCCCTGTGAGCGAACAGGTCAAGTCAGTCTCAAAGGGTGGTCCTCATAGACAAGCACCTCAGCCGCCGACCCTCCACGTAGCGATGGATCAGACTTGATCAGCGGATCATGGCCAGGCGGCTTGCAAGGGACCTTGCCGTTGAAGCAAGGGACTCCATGCTCAGCACTATCCCCCTGTGCTATTCGTGAGCTACATGACGATGATAAGGAGAAGTTGCCTGTTGGGGATGTTCCCTCCTCCACTCCTCGTACGCCAACTGACCACGAGCAGCGATCTCTCTCCTCCTAGAGCCCTCTGGCGTGTAGGCAGCCCATGAATGGACGTAGAGGGTGGGATCATCCTTGGCCTACGGACGGGTCAGGGGTGATGAGATAGAACTACTTTAGCTCTCACTGGAGGATTCGCTGGATCGTATCCCAAGAACTTGTTCGCACGAATCTCCTTAGGGTCGGATATTCTCAGGATCGCCTGACGAGTCAAATGTGTCACGTAACAAGGCCAGGAGGCAACGACGACTCAGTTCTACCTGCGCGATGTCCCGGTTTCCTGCCGTTCCTTCAACTGAGCTAAACCTCGGCTTGTCTGTGAAGCTTGTTCCTGTAGGGTTCGAGAAGTGTCAAAGATCTTTCAACAGGATGCTATGCATGTCGAATACCAGCTTGCAGCACGTTCTCAGTGTTGAGAACATGGTTGTCAACCCACTTGAGTGATCCTGCAAAAGAAATCAATCCAACGAATGTGCCAGGGGATTCCTCTAGGAAACCATTAGGCGTCTTGAAGGCACGTAGGGGAACCTTGACATGGTATGAGATGCTGAAATGGAAGTCGGAACACCGCCCTCACCTCCGGTCTCGCATCAGTGGAGCCAAACATAGCGCCTGGGCCGAAGATTCCGCCGATGCCTTCGAACAACATCAACAATCAATCCTTTCATTGTGGAACAAAGAGCAACACCGTTGTAAGAAAGGAGGCCATTCTCATTGTTCTTGGACCCCTGCGCAACACCATCAAGGGCACTCGGGGAGGACAGAGGTCTCGTCGCACCGGTACTGAGGGAACATGGATACGCTGCTGGTAGTGCGAGGAATGAGGATCATTGTCCACTAGAGAGTCGTGGAAGTATTCGGTCTTGATCTCATTCGCCTACAACGTCTCAGCATCCACACACAGTCAATCACGGCTATCGCACACCTGAATGTGCTCCAGCGCACGGGCCACCATCGTCCTCGTTGGGTTCTCGATGTTGGCCAAATCAACATCCATCATGATCTGATGGGACACGCAAGGTCAGGAGCTAAGCCAAGGGACTGACGGAAGCGCACGTCATGCTCCGGAGGAGGCTGAGCCGGCATGTACAGCTGGTTGTTGGTTGCGACCGCTGCTCCCGAAATGACATCGGGGATGCTTCCCACTGCAGTCGCATGTGAACTAAGGTAATGCAGATGTAGAGCATGCCTTTGTCCTGAACAGGGCTTCGAGCTCTGATCTCCGTCATGTCAATCTGCCAGCGGCATCATCTCAAGAACCAGCTACATGCATGGGCACACCTTGCGATGCACGGCCCTGCCCGAGTAGTACCAATGATCCTTGGGGCTGCGATTCGGGAAGTCGATGTCGTCCTGTCTCTGCTTCGCTTCCTTGGACTCACGAATTTCCCTCTGCGCCCTGTGCATGTCCGACACCTAAGACATCAACGTCAGCGCTTTCAAGCTCCACTCTTGCTGGGCATCTCACGCTAGGCGCCTGAGGCTCTGCCTCTTCATCCTCCCCCTCGGCTTCTTCAGCCTCGCCATCCAGCTTTGTGAGCCTTGCGAGTCTAGCAGCAGGTCTGCGTGCAGCATACTGCAATACAGTTACATTCCCACCATAGCACCACAGCACAAAGCTCGAGGGAACAACAGCAACTCGAGTTGTTCACAATAGGAGATCTCAAGTTCGAAACATCAGTAGAACGAGTCTTGTACTCACACTCTTCTCCAGCAGAGACGGGGCGGCTCCCTGCGATTGTTTCAGCGCGCCATTGAGCATCAGCCCAACAACAAGCTACCTCGTAGCTCGCGATGTATGAGATGAGGAGCACCGAGGTCAACAAGAGCAATACGGTGCCGACGAGGGCGTGGGTGCCTCGCTGCGGGATGTTTCCTGCAGGTCAGGTTCATTAAGAATCGCTATGCTCAACACATGTCCTCTCCTCTCTTATACTTACCCTTCCCCTCCTCCTATCCTTTCATCTAGCCTGCAACAAATCTATCCCTACCTATACCTAACATACATGCCTAGATTCGTATGTTCCACTGCAGACTTCTCCACTGCGCTGTCTTCTCCGACCCCTGCTCGTCCTTCTCACATCCCCCCAACATAGTCTGCTGAACTTTCTCTTCGATCCTTCTCTCCCCTACTCTCCTTCCATCGCCTCTCCCTCCTCCCTTACCCATCAGCGGCGCGTATCCCCGCATGTCGCGCCTCTTCGATAATATCCGTTACTCTGGAAGAGAATTTATAACCGCTAGGGTATGAGTGGGGAGGTGGATCTGGGTATAAGGGAAAAGCGGGCGCCTGATGGCAGGTCAGTGGTGACGGAGCAGGAGCAGGAGCAGGAGCAGGAGCAGGAGCAGGAGTAGGAGCAGGAGCAGGCTGTGATAATATGATATGTTGGGAGTGGCGGAACCAAGGATGGTTGTTGACAGACTTGTTGATATTCATTCGCAGGAGTTGAATATTGATTTGCATTGAAGACTCTGGCCTGAGAAAGGATCGCTGAGCAAACAATGTTGTCTACATCGGAACTCTTACCTTCGAATCCTTTCATCATGTGGGCGGTTGGTTTCTCTGCTACATCATGTTTCTTTCTTGGCTCTCTTCTCGCGTACGCTTGTTACCACGCCTTCTACTACAGGCCTCTGCCTGACTACCGGAGCAAGGGGATGAAGGTGGGCATCACGAAGCTGCGCGAGCTGCCTGCAGAGTATGTCCCCCTCGGACTTCTGGTGGCTCGTGGGATCATCCAGTTCCTCGTCGTCTCCATTTTCAAGTTCATCGTCGGGGTCAGAAACACAGTGGAAGTGGTCAAGGACGAGAACTACTCCTACCTGATGCAGCAGATGAGGTCGCGGCAGGAGGGAGTTTCGCTCCTCACGGCATCGAATCATGCATCCTCGCTCGATGACCCGGGCCTCCTCTCCTGTCTTATCCCCATGGACGTGGCGATGAGCCCGAAGAGGATGCGGTGGTCGCTTGCCACCCAAGAGATCGCCTTCCCCAACATCCCCTTAGTGCAGGCTTTCATGGGAGCAGGGCAGGTGAGCCAGCAACATGGAGGAGGAGGAGGAGGAGGCTGACGAGGACGGTGGAGGTGCTTCCGATATGGCGAGGAGGAGGAATAGACCAGCCGCTGTTCTTCGACGTGTGTCGACAGATCGCAGCAGGGCGCTGGATACATCTCTTTCCCGAGGCAAGAGTTGTCCAGTCTGGGATCCTTGGCATCGACCCCGTGACGTGAGGAAGCGGTAAGATCATGAGGTCTGTGCTGATCAGGGGGCAGGAAGAGGAGCGAAGCTGAGCTGAAGGAGAAGGGGCTGCTGAAGGTCAAGGATTGGAGTGGGTAGTTGGATGGCTGACTAGCAGGCAGTGGGGGATAGGGAAGCTGATAGCTCATCTTCCCAAGCGACCTGTCTTCGTCCCCTTCTACCACGTCGGCATGACTGCTGTACTCCCACAGCACAACCGCTGGGAAAAAGGGACGTACAACAACCTAGTCATCAGCTGGGACCCGCGGCACTACGGACGAGGAAACAAGGTTAAGGTGAGCATGTGGAAGGTGTGGAGGGGGCAAGTGGAGTTGATGGCTGCGGCTTCGTCCTGGTAGGTGTGGGTGGGGGAGAGCTGCAGCTTCGACGATCTGATCGAGGAGCACGAGAAGAAGCACGGGCCTCTGTGGAAGATCCCGACCGAGGCTCCGCAGGAGAAGTGGGAGGAAACGATGAAGCAGTGAGGGCGTCTGTTGCTGTGCTGCTCACGTGGTCTGAGGGGGAGGCAGGTGGAAGTCAAGGGAAGTGGATAAGCCGCTCTACCATCACATCACAAGGCGGGTTGAGAAGTGCCTCAAGAACCTGGAAGCTCGATCTCTTGCTGGTGTTTGACCCTGTCGCCACGTTGTCTTCCTCCTTCCCCTGACACTTCGAGCAGATCTCGACAAACATCCGGATCCTCTTGTCCAGAAGTTCTGCCAGCGATGCGTCGCGGCCATGCCTAAGAAGCACTCGGACTAGAGAGAGGCTATAATCATGCTCCAGTGAGCTATGAATGGAGGAGCGAGCTAGGGAGGCTCTTGTGAAACGTTGAGGCTGTCTCTTTGTGATGAGGAGATTTTGATTCTAAAGCACCATGCTCTTTCGTCTCTCGCTCTGTCATCGTTAAACTTGAGCACAATGTTAGCCCGATCATGGCCTTGTTGTTTCAGCGGTACAAACAAGTTGGACGAGAATGGTAGTGTCCAAAGAAGAGAAAGAGTCAAGGACAAATTTCAAGCATAGCAACTGCATTCCCTTCTATCCTCTTTTTTCTATCAATTCAACGATCTTCCACTCCAGGTTTTCTTCTCCACAGCAGCCTCTGCCGAAGTCTTGGCCCGGTTCAAAGTTCCCATCAAGCTGTCGACCGTCTTCCTCATCCTCATATGCATGAAAGTCTTGCTAGCCTTCACATGGTAGTGCAGGTAGTTTCGAAACATCAAGACTGCTCCTATGCTCTGCTCGGCTTTGGGTCCGTCCCAGTGCTTCTTGAAGAGAACGAAGGAGATGTAGATAACGTCCTCTCCCTCCTCCACCTTCACGCCGTCCAACTCCCCCGGCGGGTTTCGTGAGAAGGAAGCGACAGGAGCATTCTGCAACGAGGGCTCTCTTCGTACATCAGAGAATTCTCGGAGAAAGACTTCGGCAATCGACCAGTCCTTCTTCTCATCAAAGGTGACGCTAAAGACGACGATAATCTGATCCTCCTTTCCTTTCTTGATGTAGATCGACTCGCTAGCACGGTAGGGAATCCTCCTGACCTCGGGCGCATTGCCAGCTCGCACAGCTTCGAAGTAATCAAAGAAGGGAGCAGAGAGGACGGTGTACTTGACCCGAGCAAGGCTGTCGCAAACTGCCTCGTTCTCGCTACCATAATCCGTGGACAAGTCAAAGGTCAGGCTAAAATCGTATGATGCATCGTGCTGCAGCTGCTTCGTCATCGACACCGCTATGTCGTACTTGTTGTACTTCTCTTCCAACAGCTGCTTCACCCCGAAGTTCTCGTACTTGTCGAAGTTGAGCATCGAGCAGTAGATGGTGAAAGTCTCGCTCGACGCTTTCAGGAAGTACTGCACGTCATCGAAATCGACCACCATGTACTCGAGGGGGTTGGCCTGTCGGAATTCCTCCCTGGCAGGCCCCATACGCTCGATCAAGGCCTGCTTGATGTTGGGGTGGATGGTGTCTAAGAGAATCATGAGATCTGAGAGACAACATGAGTCAGCTGCTGGCTTCAACAAACATCATGTCAATCAGATCAGATGGCTCGCCCATTCAATCTTCACTTCGTTCCCTTTTTCCTTCACTTCGTTCCATTCTTTCCTTCAATCTTCACTTCGTTCCATTTTTCCCTTCACTTCGTTCCATTCTTTCCTTCAATCTTCACTTCGTTCCATTTTTTTCAGCCTCCACTGACTCACTCTCTCGATACCTCATGCCAAACCCAAGGCTCCTTGGCCTTATCTTTACACCCTTTCGCCCTCCTTGTGTTTGTGACATTGTTTAGCTCGCTTTCTCATATGTTCCCTGTACTATGCAACTCACATTCCACGTTGGCATTCCCCCATCCAGCTGTCTACGATCTCCACCTTTCTCCTCTCCTCTGCCATTTCCCTCCACATTGAGTCTAACATCTTCGAACGTCTCCATCCCTCTCTTCATCGCTTTCCTCTTGACTTCTCTTTACTTCTTGTCTTCTCCTGTCTTCCCTTCACTCCTCCTCCTCTTCCCTTCTCCTTCTCCTCTTCCATCTCTTTGTTCACCCAAGCCCGGCATTGTCGCTCTGACCTGTCGTCACCAGGTCAGAACCAGAATTGAATCGATTTGAATCTTTTGGCACCCAGAGGGCCGCGCTGTACTTCTACTACGGCCGGGCTAGCATCCGATGCCATGATGCGGCCCGGCGCCATCGGCCCGGCCCCGACCCGGCGGCCGGCGGCCCGCCCGGCCCTGCACCCGACCGTCGGCGAGGCACGGTCAGCTCCAGTCCGTCGTCAGCGGGCTCATCATCAGTTCTCTTTATTACTTTTCATCGGACTCCGTGCGCCGCGCCGAGCCGGGCTGTCGGAGCCGCCAGCGACCGCCCCCCCCTCCCCCCCCTTGGCCCCCTGCCGGGCACTGGCGAGCCCGGAATGATCATTGGCGCTATCGACTCGATGATCGGACGGCCGGGCGTCACCGCACGGAGTCAAGTCACGCGGTGACTCCACTGGGCCCCGGGCCGGCCGCCGTCACACGGTGACCGTACTACCGTGGCCCACCTCGGACACTCAAGGCTCCGGCCAAGTTCAAGTTCCAAGTTCAAGTTGCAGCCGCGCGGGCGACCCGGCCGGGAATTCCGCCCGGCGGCGGACCGTCCTGCGGGGCCCGGGATCAGATCACCAGGGCATCGTTGAGTGCAAACTTGAAACCGTTCCTAATGTTTGGAACTCAGACCGGTCCGACGGTCTCGGGCCGGCGATAAGTACCCGGCCCAGCCCCGGCGGTCCCAGCTCGCCGCCGGCACCCGCCGAGGTTCCGGGAGGCTAGCCTCACAGTGGCTGCAGAGAAAGCCGTGTCCGTTAAGTCTGGTCCTCCTCGTCACTGAAGATCGGCGAGCCGGGCAAACCACCGCAGTCCACAGCGAATATCCCTAGAGAGCCATGGGAGATTCTACAGGCGTATCGTCGCTTGAGGTTGAGATAGTCCTCCACATGTCTCTCAAAGGGTAGAGCTTCTGTTTCGCAGGCGATCTCTTTCTCGATTCTTGTCTTCACGCCGCTCATCCATATTTCCTTGTCCTTCAAGACCGTCTCCAACCCACGATTTTTTTCCTGAAAGGTGAGGGGGTCAGGAGGGTCCTGTAGGGGAAGCTATCACCTGGTACTCCCTGAATGCCGTTCGCCTCCTGTGCTTGACTCGCTCGATGACGTTGTCTGGAGTTCGGTCAGCCGCGTGCGGGGGAGCAACAAGAGAAACCTTGGTCGACGCTGCGATGAGAACAAAATCGAAGCAACCAGTAGATCAGAGCTAAGGGAGACCTGAGGCGAGCCCGTCAGACCCCCACGACAACCCTCGATCTAGGTTTCCTGTTGATCCCGCCGTAGCAGTGAATCATCACCATCACAGGACGGTTGGGGGAATTTTCCCGTCTGCTTTTCCCCTGGATTTCCTCATTCAAAGATCTCATGAGAAACTTCTTGTGCCTTCTCCACGCTCTCTCCAGAAACCTTGCTCATCATCAAATCCAAAGTCACTTAGCGCTAGCCGGGGTCTCACCTTGCCGCCTCGAAGAGCTCCCAGGAATTCTCCACATCGTACTCATTAGTATCTTTCATAGGTAAGCGGAGGACTCGAATCGTCTCATCGTCGTCATCGTCATTTTCAATGCGCATGGTCCTAAGATCCGGTCTTGAGGTCTCCGGCTCAACCTGCTCAGTCGTTCACTTGTTAGATGAGGGCTACTGAAGAGGTCCGTCAATAACCTCTTCATACTCAAAGGGATACTTCATCTTTTCCATTCCCTGCTCATCCTCTGGAAGTCAATTGTCAAGTACGTGCAACGGATCGGAGAAGGGCTGCTCTTACTTGCAAGATTCAATATGTATCTTATCCTGTTGTCGTCATACCACTTCTGGAGAATCATCTTCCTTTCTCTAAACTGTTTCGACATCTCCGAGACCATGATAGGTTTCTCCACCTCCTCATTCTTCTGGCCACCGGCACCGAGGAACACGAAACCTTTGATCACCTCCGAAGTGTTCGCCACATTGAGAGTGCTTACAATATCTTCATCAGGATAGTTGGCTACATCGAGAGAAGTTAAGGGTTTGCCTGAAGGATCACAGCAATCAGCCGCTGTCACATAGCAGCACAAGCAAGTGTTACCGATGATCTGCCAGGCTTTTGCTAAGTTATATTCCCACGCCATGCTCTTGTGAGCAAGGTTCTCTTTCAAAGACAAGAGCGTCTCGTACTCGAAGTCGATGTCTCCCCGCGTCAGCCCGTACTTCATCTGCATGATGTTTTCTTGATGGAGGCTAATGGTCGCTGCCTTCAACTCCTTCAGCACTCTTATGAGTTCGATGAACTCTGGAGAGCAACAAAGTCGATGGAAGGTCTTCTCAACAACTTTTCTGCGCTTCTGGCCATTGAGAAAAGCTTCAAACGACGAGTCGTGCGTTAGTCTTGGTAACGGTTGCGTCCGATGCTCCTCTCCTGGGCGAGGAAAGCCAGGTACATGACCAAGCATGCTTGGAGAACTTGCGAGCAGAGGCGAAGGTTGCGCGTAGGCTTGAGGAAACCTGGGACTTGATGTTGGAGACTGTTGGGTTGTCCTGACATGAAGCTTCGAAGGCTGCGACTTTTCCCTTCCATCAAAGCGAGGTGAGTTTGAGCCAGGAGCAGGAAGAGACCGATCTGTCGACACGTTCAAGCGCGGATCCCTGCTTCGCTGAACAGCCTGGGGATTGCTCCTCGGATCTCTTGGGGCATTTTGAATCTCCTTAGGGGCTTGCCCAACAACGTGCACAACAGGAGGTACAAAAACAGCAGCCGGCACAGCATCAGCCGGTACAACTGGAGGGTAGCCGTTTGCCTCCGGCTGTGGGAGATTGGATGTCACATCCAGTGGTGTCACTTGGGGCAATGGATTTCTGGGAGGCTGCAAGTTACCAAAATTTTTCGCTCCAGGGGGGTTCTGTCTTCCAAGGTTGCCGCTGCCGTTCATCTTGTGGATTGTGTTCAATGCAATTTCCGAAATCAAGCTGAGAGCAATCGAAGTTCACAGGACATTACTCTTTGCCTTCTTTGGACATCGTTTTCTTGGACCGGTGAAAAGACTGAGGTGTTGTTCAGGGGATATGTTAATCGATGACAGGTTAGCTCACACACTCTACGAGAGCACGAGTGGATCTTATAGAAAGGATTTAGTTTGTCCTTCCTGGCACACAAACAAAGAAGTTGTGAATGGTTCAAATGTCAGCACTCATTGCATGTGTTTCGCTGTTGCTCAGGTGTTGCCAACCTCCCTCTCAACTTTGAGTGAGGATAGAGATCAGAAGCTATCAGACAGAGGGGATGGAGTCTTTTGACAACCCAAGAGGTTGAGGTCGCTGATGGTATGAAGCCTCAGCAAAGGTCAAGGTGCAGAGCCCGAAGCTCCCGCTCTCCGACTAGCGCAATGGCGAACCAACCCCTCTGCTTGCTTGATGATACCCCACCCCATCTGTAAGCATCATTTGTACAAGAACCACCCTACCCTTCTTCATCATCCTCTCACCTCAGGCTGCCGCCGGGCCACGGCGGGGGCCTGACGGGCCGCACTGCGGTACCGCAGTACCGCCGGACCGACCCGGGGCCGGCACAGTGACCACCGTGCGGCCGCCCGGCGGGCCCGGGGCCGGCGGGCCGGACTTTGGGAGTCCCATCCGGATCCGCCTGAGTTCCGCGGCGGGGGGGGCCGGCCGCGCAACAGTGTCGACTTGAACCCTGTACCGTGGCTACCGTACAGTACGGTTCATAACGTACAGACAGACAGACGGACAACCGTCTCACTGAGTCAACCGGGGGAGGATCATGCGCAGGGGGCCGGGGCCGCCCCGCCCGGTCCGCTCGGATCACCGTCGGAACGCCCGGCCGGGCCCGCCGGCCGCGGCCCCGGGCCGGGCCGTCCGAGTCACGGCCCCCGGCTACTCCCGTCGGTGGCAGCCGCTGGTCAACTAGCCTACGGTAGTCGCCGGGCCCAATCAGTAGCACCGGGCCGAAAGTTGATACGGCTGATTCAAACTTCCGAGCTGAGTCAGCTGCGGCAGGCACAGCCTACGGCGGCACCCGGAGCGTCGGGGCCCTCATTGACACTGAAGAAAAACAAAACTTGAAAAGGCCGCTCAATCGGCGGCGGCGACGGCTCGGACTCAGCCCGGCCCGCCGACTCCGGCGAAGTTGACCGTCACGGTACGGCGCAGGGGCCGGATCGGACCGTCACGGCGTGGTGATTGTTACTGTCCGTTAATTTTTAACTTAACTTTGAGTAAAGACTGAACTTCGGAATTTGTGGCCATTCCGACTTCTTTACTCAAAGTTGACTCAAATCAACTACAAGTTCAGTCACCGTCACTGCCAGTAGCGAGCTAGGTACTCAACAACTCCGCCTCAGATAGAGCCTATGAGAAAAGAAAAGGCAGCGAAACTTGAACAAGTTGATTAGTTTCATTTGGCCCTGCGGCCCTACCGCCATGTGACAATCGTGATGCCGAGGTAAACCATGATGCCGAGGTAGTACCCCTCCCATCTACCTGAAGTTAATGTTAACAAGATGGGTGGGGTCACTTTTGATGGCACGCCAAAGAAAGTACACGGACCCGTGAATTAAGACTATTGACCCCTGCAATGCTGGGGAGACCAGGGGGTGGAACAGAGCAGGGGGTAGGGTCGAAGATGAACCGGGGTCTTGGCTCCGTATCCCTCGACCCAAAGTCCCCTACTCCCTCTCTCTTCCCCCTCTCCTCCCCCTACCGCTCGACGGGCGCGTGCCGAGCTCCTGGCGGAGGATCAAACCGCTCCTCCTCATCCTCTACTTCGTCCTCTCCCTCCTCTCCATTTCTCTCTGCTGTGACCGACGTAAACTGGTGATTGGCCTTACAGTCGTAGGATTGGGGGAGGGCTTGATCGACAGCATCGGATTCTGGTGGGGAGGGCAGTAGCCTTGCCAGCTCCTGTTCTTGTCGTCCACAGTGAGGCAGAGGAGCTGAGGAACCCGAGATCAAGGACTTGACTCTTTCCTCCCTCGTCTCGAAGCTGGCTATCCTTGCCCGAATCCCAGAGCCCCCTGGAGAGTTTGTTGTTACGTGAAGGAGCAGCGTTTCTGACGCAGTTCGCGCCGGGAGATTGACGAGGTATGTTGTCGTCACTGCTATGCTATCTTCACAATCGTTTCAACGATGATATGCTCTCGATGCTTTCATAAAGCCTGTCGTTTGCTGTAGGAGCGTCACGATGGGTCAAACGGAAAGCTGTTGTTGTAAACGATCGCAAAATGCTGGAGGGAATGATGCTTCTCAGAGCCCTTCGATATCATTGGACGTCCTTGGCAACCAGGTAAAGACAGCAAGTGCAGGGAAAAGAATGACTTGATGGTTCAGTATGTCACTTTCCGATCGGATCAGCAAGAAAGTTTCCTGATAAGAAGTATGATCTTCTACTCGAAGTATCTTCTGCTTGCTCAAGTGGAGCAAAGGTTTTTGACTTTTTTGCAATCAGATCAAGTCATCGGATTAGAGACATGGCAAACAACACGTGGTTCCGTATGGAAGGTCCGAATGCAAAGGTTCTTTCCTGTTCACTACTCTATGTCCGGATCTGACATCTTGCCTGTTAATAGGAGACTGGAGTTAAACATCTGATTCTCAACACAGATTCTGTACATGCAACTCTCATGAGGATAGACGAGGTGATGTTTGTGTGCCCTTCGTATTCTTCTCACAGTCCTTGCACAACGCAGATCACTTGGAAGATTGTAGTTTCACGCGAGCTGCGGGCGCTTGTGTACAAGTGCGTGCGAACCAACCAGTACTGCATCCGAGTGTTCTCTCCTCCATACCCTCCAGAAGACTATGGGCAACTGATCCTCGAGGAAGTTGTGCCTGACGTTGTATTGGAAGGAGATTATGACAACATGAGCATGAGGTGTGGGAGGGGTGGAGACTTCCTCTTGCTGACTAGGTGCACTGCAGCTTCCTTCTTTATGACAGCGAGGACGTGTTTGCAACGATGGAGAGGACAGCAGATTTTCAGGACAGGTGAGTCGCAATGTGTTGTTGAGCTCAGCTTCCTTTCCTCCCTCTCACACTTTTGTAGCTCCAAGGGGACAGGATGGAGATTGCTTGTGCAGGTGACAAACTGATGTAGAACAGCAACGTGTAACTCTGCAAATAAGATTGCAGCAAATGTTGATGTTGCCCTGGTTCTTCTGACCTGCATCTGTGTCGATGCGATGGAGCGAGAACCGGAGCTCGAGCAAGACTCGGTCTCACTCCCTAACCTACCAGCCATGACACTGATCGCGGCCTTGCAGTTTGACAAGGTGAAGGCGCCCAACGGCAAGAGGAATGACAGGTATCATGAATAGCTTCTGGTGTCCTCTGAGTTCGAAGTCTCACTTCCTGAGCAGCATCGACACCATGGACAAGGGGCGGAAGTCCTCAGTCCCCACGTTGTGGGACAAGGGACACACGCCGAGGGTCGTCAAAGAAATCTGAGCTTGTCAATCTATTCTTTCACCCGAACTCTTTCAGAGTCTCGATATCGCTTACAAGATCTCGCGGCGTCTTGCCGTTGACGTTCTCTGCCTCCGTGTCCGCCCCGCACTGACGCAAAATGTGACAGTCAGCTTCCCTCTGCTGAGAGCTGGGGTATATCACCTTGATAAGAAATCGAACGATGGTGATGTGACCGGCCGCTGACGCCCAGTGTCTGTCCGATCAGTCAGAAGAGAGGCAGGTAGAGGGGAAGGAGACAAGGGAGTTTCTTGGTCGTTGTTCGTCGTGTTGACTTCCGCGTCATTTTCAACCTTGAGGAAATAAAAACTCTGCATGAGAATCAAGAGCAAGAGTACCAGCAGCTGGACTACGCCGATGTCCCCAATAGAGCATGCTGTGTGTAGGAGCTGCATAGGAATCAGATAGAAAGGGAAGGTGAGGGTGAGGAGTGGGGATGAGGGTGGAAGCGGAGGGTTCGGGATGGGGGAGGCCTACCGAGTCGTCGACTGAATTCTTGGAATTAGTCGAAGCTCCCATTCTCAAAAGTCTTGCAACCATTCGTTTATCGCTGCGAGCTGGAGTCAAGGAGAATCTTGCATTGATGCGCACTGACCTCTTGGTGATGGCTAGGTGGAGGCATGTGTCGTTCATACGTGTGGCTGCATGTACATCGGCACCTGCTCAGACATTTCATCCTCTCAATCTCCTTTTCAATCCCCTCCTCCTCCTCCTCCTCCTCCTCATAATCATCATCATCGTCATCGTCATCGTCATCGCCATCATCATCATCATCATCATCATCATCATCGTCGTCATCATCATCATCCCCCGAATCATCAACATCCCATTCCCGATTTGCTCACCGTGTTCATGCAGCATCTCGACAAGCCCAATATCGCCTCTTTGCACCGCAAAGTGCATGGGCTGTCGCAATTACACTCAGAGGTATCAAGACAAGGTGCTTCTAACCGTCTCTGCAAACTTGTTCGCTACATTGGGAGAAGCCCCATTCTCCAGCAGGTAGGCAGCAACTGATTTGTGACCTCCTTTTGAACAGTCAGTCTCTCTTTCTGTAGATCAGCTCCCCGCACCGGCACACGCCCAATGAATAGGAGCTTCTGAGTCCTTCGTCGTCAAACTCACTATCATCTGCATCAGATCTCTCGTGTACAGCTCGTTGCGCTCAGGCAAGATCGAACAACATCACCCACCATTCGCTTTCGCTTCCACCAGCATCCGAACCACCTGTCCTTGACTCTCAACCGGGTCGACGATGAAATAGCCGAGAACTCACATCGAAACTCTTGTCAGAGCACGAGATGTGCAGCGGAGTGATCTTCTTGAGGTTCACAGCGTCAACGCTGCAGCTAAGTTAGCCTCGTACTAAGATTCGAGCCTTTAGTTCACAAGGCCCGGTGGTCAAGCAGAATCTTTGTTGCTTTCGGGTTTCCGCTGGCTGCTGCCCAGTGTAGCGGAGTATCGTGATCCTGGAGAAGCGTCAAACAGCATCCCAACGACTTGCATTCCCTGACCTGATTCTGCGAATTTATCTTGGTCTGGTGCGATGAGCGGGAACAACATGTCAGATGATGACTTAAAAAAACGAGTTTGAGAAGGGGGAGGAGGGAAAAGAGAGGGAGAAAGAGGAGGGAGAGGGGGGGGGGCTGGAAGAAAGAGGAAGAGAGCGAGGAGAGAGGGGGAGGGGGAGAGGAGAGAGAGAGGAGGGGGAGGGGGGGGGGGACGAGGAGAAAGGGGACGAGGACGAGGAGGAATGAGCACCTTCGGCATCTTCTTTTTCTTTCCAATCTTGATCGCGGAGTCTAGCACAGGACCCGCAGACTTCGCTAGAACCCTCACCGCATCGTGATTGCCGTCGGCAGCCGCGAGGTGTAGAGGCGTAGTCCCGTCCTTGTTCACCACCCAGGGGTCTGCGTTGTAGTTGAGGAGGAGCTGAATGACTTTCTCATTTCCGCCAGATGCAGCCCAGTGCCTGAGGAATCATCAGGAGACTTGTCTCTACTGCACTGAGGGAGTCGAGGACGTACAGCGGCGTGTCGCCGTCCTTGTTCTTGGAAGCTATAGGAAATCCTCTCTGTATGAGGTATTCTAGGACATCAGCGTGGCCCTTAAGGGCAGCCCAATGCACAGGAGAGTTGTCGTCGGCATCCACTTCGTTCACATTCCCCTCAAAGTGCCTCTCTACCGCCTTCAAGTCTCCTTGGTAGCAATCCTTGGTGATGGCGATCGCAGACCTGTTCTGATTGAAGAGTTGCAGAGCCCCTCCGTGCACGAGGGGAGCCGATAGGAGCTGCCTGAAGACGTCTTTCCCCTCTCCCCCACCATCCTCGTTCTTCTTCTCTCCCGCATTCCCTTCCTCTCCCTCCCCATCCCTCGACTGCTCCGCGCCCATTCCGACGGGAACAAACCCCCCTCATCCCCCTGTCCCTATTATGCCGAAACCCTCATCTCCTCACTGACCAATTTCATCACCCTCATGCACCTGCCCCTTCGCCATGCGGTTCATTGCATGCTGTTCACCATGCAGCCCACCTGCATGCAGCCCAGCACGCTGTCTGCATGCAGAGCTGCATGCACTTCGCTATATCCGCAGCAGTGCTACAGGGCATGCGGCTACCGATGATGCTCAGGATGGGCTACATAGGATAGTTGACAAAGAAGATCAGATAGGATACGATGATCTTAGTGAAATTTTCCCGTGAAAACCATGTCGGAATAGGTCTGTTTCGAGGATTGCACAGAAGCAGACACAGTGTATCGATGTTGCATGCTCGAAGAAGGAATAGTCTGCTCTTCTTCCCAGATGCTACCTCGCCGTGATCGAGCATGCATGACCCCTCCAACCTTGCTGCGCCTCTGAAACTCTGCCGCAGGTAGTAAAGTGTCAGATGCCTTCCACTGCCAAGGCCCTGCGGGATGCTCGGGGCGTGTCACTGTGGGGGCTCTGCCTGTGCACGTGCTTCCTCGCCGTGAGTCTGAGAGCCCAATTCACGCGCAGCGGAGAAGTTTCCTTGTTCGGCTACCAGGACGATCACAGGATTTTCGCTCCACTTGAAGAATTCAGGGCTGGGTCAGGGCCGCAAGGCAGCCCGGAAGCTTTCGGAGGCGGAGAATCCGGGGATGCCGGCCCGTCGGACATGCATGGCGACAGGATCAAGATGAAGCTCGAGAGGCTGCAGAAGGAGCGAAACCTGTTGGAGAAGAGGAAGTGGGATATTCTCGGTTCGCTCACAAGGGAAAGGGACTCGGCTGCCATCGAGGTCGCGCAGAAGTCGAACGAGCTCCACCGTCAGCGGCTTGACTCAGCGCTTGATCGAGCCAAGGCCAGGCAGAAGAGGCTGCATGATCGGGCGCAACGGTACTACGAGGCTGACCAGCAGGCACGTCAGAAGGGGATCGAGCGGTATGTGTCGCAGAGTGAGGAGCGAGGGAGGAGGCTCAAGGACCTCGACGACTTGCTCGTAGACGCGAAACGCGCTGGAGGACGCGGGGATGTGGCTGCTGTGAAGCAGAAGTACGACATGGAGGTCAACCGGCTCATTGGTGAACTTGCCGTTGACGCCTCGAGGGTGAACAACGTGGAGGAACGCGACGCCATGCTTGGAAGGATCCGGGAGCTTGACGAGCTCATTAACAGAGGGCCGGATGACAGCGAGGAGAGCGAGTCCGGGGCCTCTCCTGCCAGCAGGTACTTCGTCGACGATTACACTCGATATGCTGCGAACGTGCGAGCGAGGGCGCCAGTGGACCCACAAGGGATCAGAATTATCCCAGTAGCCTAGCGGGAATGTAGAATAAACCTCTAGAGGAAGACGACTGAGATGCTTCCGGTGCTGCGGCCCGGTGCCAAATCAACTTCGGATCTCCGAGGCTCCCCTGGCAAGTTGAGCTCGGCCGCCGCAGCGTCGCGCCAGTGCCCCGCACTGTCAGGGCCGGGCCCCGGTGGTGCCGGGCTGCCAGACTGGCCGCCCGGCAGGTCCGTTACACACACTCTTGGGCGACGTCAAAAGCAGGAAAAAAAACATCAAAGCCCCTCCCCTTGGCTGAAGCCACTCTGGCAGCCACTCCTCACTCACTAGTCTCTCTCCCTTCCTCTCTCGTTCCTTGGTCTTGTCTCTCGCAGGCTTCATCCTCCCCCTCTCAGTCACCTCTTGCTCCTCGCCGCCTGTACAAACGCTTGTCAGCCTGCCGTCATTCGTTGCTCGTCCTCCCCCTTGCTCCACCCCTTGCGATTTCCCTCCTCCCTCCTCCCTCCTGCCTCTTCCCTGCGCTACCCCCGACTTGCTCGCTTGCCTCCGCTGCAACTTGGCATGAATGCACACGAGGGCGAGAAACAAGATCCATCACGAAGCCCGTCATGGCTGCAGGTTCGGATGACGACTCTACAGGCACCTGCATGCTCACCATTCTTTGTAGCCATTTCAGGAGGCGGAAATGCGCGCGCAACTAGCCAAGTCAGGAGTTACCTTCACGAGCTCCTACGAAGCAGCAGCAAGGCAAGTGCGGCTGGGTCAACTGGTGGAGGAGGAGGATCGACTTGTGCGAGAAGTGATGGCGCTGGCAGGCAAGCAGATCCCTTGGACCAGACCGAGTTGAGACTGTCGGAACCCAGCAACTTGACGCCAAGGACGCGATCTCAGCGAGCTGAGGAGGTCCAACGACGCTTGCAAGCATTGAGGTGAGGCAGGTGGGCTGTCTGATGGATTGACGTTGGGAGCACAGGGAGAGGGTACAGAAGAGCAACAACGCTATAAGGAAGCAGATCGAGGAGGTAGACGACAGCATCGCCTCGGTTGGCTGCTGCTGACCGACTTGATTCCAGTCATGTCCAGCAGAGGCTCTGACGGAGCGGTACAGCCAGGAAGAGGTGCACAAGCGGATAGAGAAGCTCAAAGTCCTGGCAAGAAAGTTGGAGGGAGCGAACAGGACCGAGGAGCTGCCTACTGCGGACATGCTGAGGCAGCTTGTGCAGAAGAAAGTCTCGCGAGAGACTTCCAGTGACGACATGAGCGGGTCGACAGAAACCACCGACAGGCAGGTAAGGGACGAGAAGGTCGATCGGTCAGTCTTGACGTCATGTGCAGAGAGGCATCGCAAGGATGTGCTGCGGAACTTTCTTCTTGTAGTCCCTCCTGCAGTGCTCGCGAGCTTTACTCTCAGCAGAGCTTCATGATACGATTCTACTCGAGGCAGGGAACGAGAGTTACCAGCCTCACTGCAAGGAGTGTCATGGAGAGAAACATGTCCGAACCACGGTGGCCGCGGGTCAAACCTTGTTTGACTTGGACTTGAGTTGGGCGAGGATCTCCTTCTCCTCTCGCGTGATGCTCGTTGGGATCGCAACCTATCGGCAGAGCGTCAGGACGCAGCGGCAGTCTCCCCTTGCCTAACGACTTGCCTTGACTGTCACGAACTGATTCCCGCGGGCATTCTTCTTGCCCAGAATCGGGACTCCCTTGTTTTCCACCTTCATGACCTGCATGCCGACTCGTCAACCCCACAGGACCTCCCGACAGCGCCCAGCACCGTCTCGGGCTGAGATCCAGCAGGGATCTTGAGGTCGATGGTCCCATCCAGGGTGGCCACCTTTACCTCGGTTCCAAGGATGGCGTCGATGTAACTGACCTGCACCTGCGGCGCTGCGTCAGCGGCTGAACGAGGGTGCCGCTGCTCCTGTACGTTAGAGAAGATGTCTGACCCTTCCCTCTTGAACTCCTTGCTCGGCTTCACCGACAAGAAGACATAGAGGTCTCCCGGCGGTCCGCCCTGCCAAGCAGCACCAGTGACCAACGAGCATGCAGCTCCAGCAGCAACAGGGCCGCACCTTGGCCCCAGCGTCGCCTTCTTGTCTGATCCGCAACCTGCTACCATTGTCGACCCCAGGAGGGATGGTGATCATCAGCTGCTTGGACTTCTGCAACTTCCCTCTCCCGCTACACGTCCCGCAGTACTCGTCAACAATCTGACCGTTGCCCTTGCACTGCGGGCAGACGCCTTGCTGCTGGATCATACCGATGGGCGTCCTCATCACCTGAGTCACCACTCCCGATCCTCCACACGTGCCGCAGGTTCTTGGCTTGGTGCCAGGCTTCATCCCCGAGCCCTGCCACTGAGCGTCAGCCGGGACCTGGATCTCCTCTCCTCGACCTCGCATGTTCCACATGACTCCAGATGAGAGATGGTGATCTTCTCGTCTCCTCCGAAGATGGCTTTCATGAAGTCGATCTCAAGGTCGAGACGGAGATCGTCCCCCTGCTGCGGTCCATCCCTCCTCCTTGACCTCCCTCCTCCTCCTCCTCCTCCGAAGAAAGTGTCGAAGATGTCTCCAAAGGGGCTGAAGTCGCCAAAGTCAGAGAAGCCTGGGCCACCTGCACCCGAGCCTTTGACAGCCGCCTCTCCGAACTGATCGTACAGGCTTCTCTTCTGAGGGTCTGAGAGGACCTCGTAAGCCTCCGACACCTGCTGGAACTGCTCCTGGGCGTTGGGGCTCTTGTTCACGTCGGGGTGAAGCTGCCTTGCCTTTTGGCGGAAAGCTTTCTTGATCTCGGCCTCGTTGGCGTTTCTGTTCACTCCGAGCCTGCCATAGTAATCCGCCTCTGCTCGCATTCCCCGAGCTCCTGCGCCGCCATGGCGGGCCCTGGGCCTGTACAGGGGTGGAGGAGCGAACGGGTTCCGCGCACCCAGGCAGCTTGCGAAGCTGGAGAGATGGCGAGCATGTGAGGTTGTCTGCCCGTAACAGAGGGAGGAACGGAGGAGCCCTCCTGCACGAACGAAGGCTCCCGCTGGCGTCGCCATGAGCTCGAGCACCACCATTGCGACCGATACCGCCATCGCCATCCTCTAATGACCAGGCGGCGCCAGGCAAACCAGCTAGTAGTTGATTTTTGCAGCCAGCACCCGGCCAGCATGCCGGGCAGGGAACGAGTGGGGAGGTAGGCGCGAAGATGGTGGGAGTGGCGGGCAGGAGGAGGCTGTTCGAGGCATCCAGACGAACTTCATGGCTGCACCTCCTCGTCCTGCTCATCTGCCTGACTTGCTGCATGGTTTATGCCTTGAACCCTCGACACTTCAGTAGTGAGGTCATGCACTAGCACTTCACCTCGTAGATACTCACGCCTGCCATGGCTCAGGACAAGAGTCACGCGTTGACTGAGAGTATCACAGAGAGCGTGAAAAGAGGGATCAAGTCCATCACCCAGGAGACTCAGTTCTGTACGACAGGTAGGGGCATCGAAAGGAGACGTGTCAAGGTGACTTGGTTGTGAATGCAGATTGCGAATGGTACGATGCTGTGGTGGTTCTCGGTGGAGGACCTCAGAGTAAAGACGGTTCCTTGCCGGAATGGACGAAGAGACGATGCGACGCTGTTGCCGAGCTCTACAAGTGCTGCAAGGGCAAGAAGTAGGATGTTTCACTGGCAAGCATCGCACTCATGTTTGCACACAAGTCAGAAGCTCAGGATCGTTACTACAAGTGCTGGCACTGCTCACACGCCAAGTGTCATTGACTCCGAGGGCTTTCCCGTCACTGAAGCTTCTGCTTCCGCCCAGTACCTGATCAGGTTGGGCAGGAGGAGAAGGAGATAGCTGCACAGTCACATGCTTGCAAGGGCTGGGGTGGACGCGAAGCACATCGTGCAGGAGGCACAGGCATGGGACACCATCGGGAATGCTTGGTTCACCCGCGTGATGCACTCAGATATCCGAGGATGGAGAAGGTGAGAAGCTATGACGCGAGGAGCGGGTCGAAGGCTGTGACTGCAAACGACAGGCTACTGGTTGTCACCTCCGACTTCCACTTGAACCGCACCAAGGCCATCTTTGAGTGGGTTTTTGCGCTGCCTCCTGCTCAAAGGTTCGGTGCTTCTTCAAACATTCCCCCTCCCTCCTCCTCCCGACTCTTCCCTACCTCCACCCTGAGCTCCTGAGGTCATTCATTTCGCTTCCAGCTCCGGTGCGATCGAAGGCTCTGCTCCTGGTCGATGGTGCGGAGAGGCGCAATGCTGGCAGTACAGACTGCGATTTGTTGGGATTTCAGACGAAGGCATCGAGATCGCAGAGGAGAGGGGGAAGAGGGAGGCGAAGTCATTGGAGGGCGTGAAGCAGGTCAGTGATGTCTTGACTCTTCAGCTGTCGTGATACAAGACTTGCAGAACGCGCAAACTCTCAAGACGATGGAATCTTTGCACGAGTGGCTGTACACTAAGCACGGAGCTTATGCTGCTGCTGTTAGAGTTGAGAGGCTGCCTCCTAGTGAGAGAAAGATATACAACGGCTAAGTGCTCCATGTCTGGCTTCTGGCAAGGTACAGACTGGATATTATTTCACGTATCTCTTTCCCAAACAATGAAACATTCTTCCAAAATAATTTCATCGTCATCACCAATGCATGCCAATCATCTTCAATTCCATGAATTCAATGAATATTTCCGGTGATCAGTAACTACAACCAAGAAAACCCACGTGAGAGCAACACCACCCAGCAACTTGGCAAAGTGTCAAATCAGGACCAGTTGCGTTCGATTGACAGAAGTCCAAATGTTTAGTTGTAAACCATGTACTGCAAGGAAGTGAGTAGTTTACACAAGCAAGGCATGCGATTCTCACCTTGGGAGTTGCAGAAAACTTGGCATATCCCTTGATAACCTTGTTGATGGCATCAAGCATGTCCTTCTCGGAAATCTGCTTTCGACGGGCCCTGATGGCGAACATTCCTGCCTCAGTACAAACCGATCGCAAGTCTGCTCCAGTGCAGTTAGGGCAAAGGCGCGCGAGGAGTTCGAAACGAATGTTCTGGTCGCAGTTCATGTTGCTTGAATGGATCTTGAAAATTTCTGTTCTCCCCTCAAGATCAGGAACACCAAACTCCACACGGCGATCCATTCTTCCTGGCCTTAGCAATGCAGGATCCAAAGTATCGGGTCTGTTCGTAGCCATCAAGACCTTGACGTTACCCCTTGCATCGAAACCATCCAGCTGATTCACGATTTCAAGCATAGTCCTCTGAACCTCATTGTCGCCACCAGCTCCATCGTCGAAACGGGCACCACCTGAGGGAACGATTCAGCATGCACAAAAGAAACCAGGGCAACAACGAACCTATCGCGTCAACCTCATCAAAAAACACAATGCAGGCCTTCTTCGAACGAGCAAGCTGGAAAAGCTCTCTGACCATTCTCGCACCTTCACCAACATACTTTTGCACGAGCTCACTGCCAATCACTCGAATGAAACAGGCATCCGTACGGTTCGCAACTGCGCGTGCTGAAAGGGTTTTGCCCGTTCCAGGAGGACCATAAAGCAGGATACCCTTTGGAGGATCAATACCGAGAGCGACAAACTTCTCGGGATGCAGGAGAGGAAGCTCGACAACCTCACGCAGCTTTTCCAGAGACTCTTTGCATCCTCCCACATCATTGTATGTCACGTCGGGCTTATCCTCAACTTGCATCATGGTGACAGTTGGATCAATTTTAGGTGGGAGAGGGATCTGAATCTGATATTTGGTGCGATCTACTCCAACTCGCATGCCTTCCTCAATATCAGTCGCTGCAACTCGATCACCCAAGCCGACAACAAACTTCGCAATCTGCTTCACGTTGATCATATATTTCGCATCGTCCTGCCCTGCATTCAGGATCTTCGTGCATCGCGCAACTTGTAGCGGCTGCTCCTGCTGCATCATCTCCTTATCCGCAACAACGTCCCACATGCTCGGAGGAGCGAGGCCAGTGTCGGACTCTTTCACACCTCGAATGTCGTTAACTCGCTTGTTCATCTTGCTGATGTCTTCCTCCAACTCCTTGATAGACTTCGTGTAGGGACCAAGTCCATACGTCTTGAGCAGCTCAATATCTTCCTCATCAAGAGCCTGGACTGGCTTCTCATCCTCGTCATCCGAGGCATAGTCCCCACGGTTCGTCGTTTGGCACTCTCCCTTAGCCATTGCGGCGCTCCTGGTCTGGAAACTCGGGGTAGGGTACTCAAAATACCCTCGATATGTTCTCGGAGAAGATGATGCAATAGGGGGTGGGGGTTTGAAGAGGAGGGGTAGATCCTGTGGTTTAGATTGGACTGACAGGTGTCCGATTTAAAACTCAATGCCAGAAAAATATTTTAAGAACCTAAATAACATTTAAAACTGAGGAGATTTTGAACTAAATATAGTTGTATTATTGATAGTGCGGTAGAACCTGTTTCTGTATAAAATGTATATATGATCTTCTCTCTCATAGTTGATTTTAATTTTAAAAACATTTAAAACAAGCCTCATAAGGAGAGATGTCGGAGAGAGCGAGAGCCCTGGGAGGGGGGAGGGGGAGCAAGGTATCGAGGGCGAGCACGAGCGTTTGTGATTCATGTGATCTGGCGAGGAGGTAAAAACGAACATGGCGATGATGCCTGGAAGGTTGCTCCTTCACAGTCTGGTATGTTGTTTGTTCCTGGCAAATCTTGGCACTACGTTGGGTTTTACTCCGATGGCAAGACTGCCAAACTTGATTTGTAGTGAGGCTAACAATAAGATAAGAAACATCCAAATTCCTGCATTTTTCTTTCCAAAGCACAAAAAAAATTCAATCGTGGCGTCGGGTGAGTCAGAAATTATAAAGCACAAAACCTCTTGTGTATCCAATCCTTGCTTGGACAAGCTGACATGGAGATCGGATAGACTTGCTGTTCAAATCGCTGTTCGATCCCTACTCTTCATGTTCTGCACCTTGTTCCCCGTGTTCGCTCATGCAGACATTGATGAGGTAAAGCCTGTGGTCGAAAAACTGCAGCAGGTCATCAAAGTGGATGTCAAACCGTACCAGGAAGATAAAAGCTCGAATCAGAAAACAGAGTCGACAGTTGACCGAGCCAAGCGGAAGCCTCTTATGGACAAAATCCAATCGCCACTTGTTCCTGACCCCAATGGTCAGTGCATGCCGGGATTTCACAGCAAAGTGACTGAGGGCTCTGCCGCCGAACCAGCGAGGAAGGTTTGCTGGCCAAACTCCTTGAAAGCAGCGGAGAACGGGGTGGAAAGGATGGTATTGGATGCAGAAGAGCAAGCTTTCCTGGCTTCTTCCGATGCTGTCAGGAGGGCGCAGTCAGTCATCCGCGTCCAAGAGATGAGTGATCGGATTGTAATTTCTCTGAATATCATGTGCTGTTACTGAATCTTCTTCATTGCAATTTAGGAGGACGCGGAGGAAAGGCGAGCTGCTTCTGCTGCTGTGATGAAGGCCGACAAAGGTTCTGGAGTGACGGAGCAGTCCAAGAGCAAGGCCTTGATGGAGAGGGACCGAATCCTGAAGGCATCAAGGGCGGCGGAGGAGCAGGCGCGGAGGAAGTACGAGGAGGTACAAAGGAAGGCTGCTCAGAAGAAGATTGAGAAAGAGAGAGAGTTCCAACAAATGGAGGATGCAGAGGTGCGTCTTGACTGGTTGCGTCCCCCTTGGCAGTTGATGACTTGAACCTTCAGTTGAGGCAAAGGATGAAGGCCGAGCAAGTCAAGGAAGCAGAGGTGAGAAAGAAGGAATCTGAAGAGATTGAACAGCAGGAGCGAGAAAGGGCGCTGCAGAAGGCACAGGAAGAGGAGATCAAGAGAGCAATCGAAGTTGGCATTGATCCAACCACTGATACCATGCCCCTCAAACCGAAGAAGAAAGATTGAAAATTCTGTTACTATAAATTTTCAATGAACGATTAGAGAGCGTATGTTGTGACCTCGTTTTTCTCAAGCTCTCTAATAATTTCGGCTGGTAGGAGTGCCTTAGTCTCTGAATAGGATGGCCGCGTGCATCAGGCTGGATCAGCATCACACCTGGGTCTTGATCACATCCTCGGTGACTGAGAGTGCGAATATCCGCGATCCCTATGATGCTCTCTCCCTCGCATGCCATGACGATCCCTTTCCTCCCAGGATCGGTCTCGGTCCCTGTCCCGGAAGCGATCCCTATCTCGGTCACGATCTCTATCACGATCTCGATCCCTATCACGATCACGATCTCTATCACGATCACGATCTCTATCACGATCACGATCCCTGTCTCTGTTGTCTCTTTCCTTATCTCGGTCCCTGTCCTTGTCCCTGTCCCTGTCCCTGTCCCTGTCCCTGTCCCTGTCCCTGTCCCTGTCACGATCCCGGTCCCGGTCCCGGTCCCGGTCCCGATCTCTGTCCCTGTCTCGCTCACGATCACGGTCGCGGTTTCGTTCTCTGTCCTTCTCTCTGTCCCTCGCATCATCCCTGTGCCAGGGCCTCTCCTCGTCCCTGTACCCTTGAGCCCTCATGTCCCTTGGACGCTCTTGGAACCTCGGAGGAGATCGTGGAGATTGCTGCGAGTACTTGTCTCTCCTTCCTCGAGAATGAGACCTTGACCTGCCATGGTTGTCCTTGGACCCGTAGCGGTCCCTCGGCAACCCGTGTTGATTGTTGTCATGGCTATTCATGGTGTCGTTGGGATCCGGATCTTTCTGGGCATCTATGAGCACTTTCAAGAATACTCCGTCTGCGATTTCTGTCGCATGCATTCCACCTGAATCAAAGTCAATCCTCTTCTCATAAGTGCTGCATTTTCATGGTTACAGAGGGCATCTTCGGCGTCAACTCGGTTTTCATACTCGATCACCATCTTTCTTCTTCAGAAAAAAATTCAGAAACGAGAAACTAAAAATAAATCATCTCCTACTTATCTGCTTGTCGGTCATACATCGATGAACTGACATCCCTAAATTTTCCATAGCGAACAACCTCTGCGACAGCCTAGTCAGCACTACGCAGAAGAGAGGCATGAATTGTGACAAACCCACCTGACTTAATCTTTTCTATATCATCGGGCGTGAGCCCACCGTTCTCTGTTTCTATGTGTACGAGCCAGCCCGGCATGATGAGCAGCTTAGCCGATTGGAAGCTGTTCCGCGTTTGCTCTGCAGAGCGTCTCCTGCTCTCCGCGTCCTTCTCCTTATCCAGTGCTTGTGCAACTTCTTCTCCACAACCTGATCCACGTCTTCTGGAAGCCTCGGCTCCTCTACCTCCCTATCCCTCTAGCGTCCTCCTCCTCGCAGGCCATGGCTGCCCGTCGTCTCGCGCCATCTGACCGTTGTCGAGCGAGCGAAGAACACGAGTGGATGTAACGGGGAAAACGGAAATTGTAACGGTTGGTGAGGGGTCAGAGGGGGTATGCGGGAGACTATGGCGGGGACGGCGATGCGACCACAGGTGGTGAACATGGGTACAGGGGGGGGAGAGAGAGGAGGGAGGAGAAGATCACGGGGATTCATGCAATCTTATAGTATCGGCCTCTCCTGTCCTTGCCGGCATCTTCTAGCCCAGCTGGTGCTGTTTTCGCTCGTCTGCTTCACGAACGGGGTATCTAGCAGCGTAAATTGCTTCAGGCCGAGGTTTGACCTTGTTGGGTGCAAGAGCCGATTGCTAGTAGCTGATGCTGAGAACGTCAAGTCCGGGGATGATGGGAGGAAGCAATCTAACGATGAATCCTTGCTAGCTGGGCCCATTCCGATACTCTTCAACCTCGGGAAGAAAGCTATTGGAGGGATGATGAACTTTTCTGTTCCCCAGTCAGACTTGTGGGTGGACCAAGAGAAGCGGAGGAAGAGGATACAAGATAAACTATATTGGGCATGCCGCAAGGGAAGGACGGGTAAAATGATGGAGATGATCGGCCAGGGAGCAGATGTGAACAAGAGGGATTCCCTGCCAATGGTCAACTTTACCCCGCTCATTTACGCTTCGGCGTTTGGAAAGGTCGATGCGGTGAAACTGCTGATGAATCATCAAGTCGATGTGAATGCGCAAGGTAACGAGGGCTCCTTTCTGCCAGTCCTTGCCTCTTACGAGGCATACAGACTGGAACCAGTGGACAGCATTGCATTGGGCTGCGCATGGGGTGAAGCAGGAGCATGTTAAGATCGCAGAGATTCTCATCCAGGTAGATGAGTCCGATGGGCGTGTTGGTATGGTATGACTCTCTTGTCTTCAGCATGGAGCGAACATCCATGAGACGACATGGGATGGCAGAACGCCGAGAAGCATTGCAGAGGACTCCAGGCAACGGAAGATCATTGAAATGATTGACAAGTATTGCATTAATGAGAGGTCGTTTGCTTCTCTCTGAGCTCTGATCCCTTTGACAGGAAGTGGGAGGAGCAAAAGCAAAACATGCATTGGTTCAGGCGAATTGTTTGGCCACGACCCTGCCATGCGCCACTCGACGAGCATGGAATTCGCAGGTGCGAGGATTTTGGAGTCGAGGATGCTATAAGACATAGTAATCATTCATCGCAGGGACAGACACCATTTTCTGGTTAAGATCATCAGAGAATCAAAGCATCAAGAGCATAAAACAACATGACGGCGACAATACCAAGCTAAATTTCACGTTGAGACGTGTTTCGGAGAGTATCGGCCGGAGAATGTTTTGTAGTGGTGACTTGTTGCTGAGCCTGCGTGATGAACATCTCTTCGATCTTTCGTAATTCTCTCAGACTTGTCAACAAGAAATATCATGCATACCTCACTAAACGGAAGCACATTCCATTCGACCCAGGAGTTCTATTTTCCGAAAGAAGTTCAGTCAAAATAACAAGCGCAGAATAACGATCGCTCACCATTATGAGCTTGTGGGTCTTCAGGAATCTGCTCCATGAATGTGTTCAGTGTTGCGGAAAAGTGATTGAACAAGGGAAAGACGCACAAGGAGGTCTGATGTTCCTTGATAAGGGACTCAGCTGTGTCTTGAAGTCCAAAGTACGGAAAGTGCACAGCAACCACCTACAGAGAAGCAAGTAAGAAGCGTTTGAGCAATGTAAAAAACCGAAGACGAAGTCTCTTGGGCACCTTGTAAGAAGTAGATAGGGGGCCACTGTAATTTGAGTCTGCAATCTTAGCGAAATTCGTGTTCGAATTGTTTTTGCATTGAGTATTTCTCAAACAAGACTGCTCAATGTCGGTCATATCAATATTTACAATCTGCAACATCAAAATTAGATTCCGATCAAATACCAGGATAGAATTACCTCTCGCTTTGCCAGTAAGGTTTCCGTCAGATTGTGAGCATTGCTTGCGCCATGCCCCTCTTTTTGAACAGAAGTGATATGAAGAATGAACCCCGGCAGCTTCGGGATGCGCAGATCAACAATGGTCAAGTTATGGTGATCAAAGTGCCAAGACTCTTCTTCGAGTATAATGGAGCTCTGAGAGCATGTATCACATTTTGTTCCAACACGACAAAGCAAAGGCATGTACTCACACTAATGGTCATCTGAACCCATTTCGGCAATCTACGAGCAATATTGTATTGCTTCCGGCAGTGGATTCCGACACCATAGAGCTTGTGCACCTGTTTTCCGAAGCTGAGGATGTTCACTACCCGTCCTCCGTTGCCGTCGTCTTCACGTTCGGACATTTTCACAACAGCGTACATCTTACCCCGATCGAAATCTTCTTTCGATAATGGCATCGTTACTCGATATTCATATATCCTTGTAATCTTCATAGCAATTGACTCTAGGAAGCGAACGGAATGCTTCAATCCTTCTGCCAAACGGTTCGCGCGATTTAACTCTAAACCCCCCGATCGGCTCCCTTTCAAAGATCTGAACCATTTGAAGGGATCAAAGATCCTGGTCGAGTTGGATTGTTTCCCAAGACTAAGGGAAAATGCCTCGACAACCACCACATGCAATAGAAGCAGGAAGATAAGAGGGATCACTCGAAGGTGTCTCATCTTCCTATGCGTCCCTTCATCGCATAAACCCATGGTTCTTTGATGGAACAGATGTCATGACACTTGCCTCCAACGCGTTCAACATCCACATGGTATCAGCTACTTCGCATCGTTATGAATGTTTTGCGCCTTGTCGGAGCATGTTTGTTGCGCTGTCTCCTCGTCACCAATTTTCCATCGCCCTCTTCATCATAGCCCCGCCATGTCCTACTTCAAATCAGTTTCAAAAGCAAACCTGAGCTTGTAGAAATCCCCATTACTACCCCTACCCTTAAACGCTTCACCTCTACCCTACATTTGAAAGCTACACCCCCTTGAACCATCCATCCGTAAAAGTACCCGTACTGAACAATACCCTCACCATGCATCTTCCAACTAAATGACCTTTGACGCCCGACACATGTAGTGACCCCTACCCCAATATATTGTCCGTTCAAAACTCATCTATGATTAACCCCCACTTCATAGACCCTTACCCACCATGAATACCTCTCCGCCCCCTTCGACGACCAAAGCACGGGTCTATCCCCACCCACCCCACACAGTTCACAGCCTGGTCCTTGTTGAATTCATTTGGGGGTAGGGTTTAATGACTACCATACCTTAATTCTCTCAGATTATCACAAAATGACCCGTACTTGTATCACCCTACCCTTCGAAACAGGAACCCTCCACATTTTCGACAGAACCCCAAATGGCCTGAGTATTGTCCCATATGGTAGGGTGGATGGAGACAGGACGAGAGCCATTCTCTCAAATGCTGGGGTACTGCATATAGAAAAGTAGGGGTGTCACATATGATGGGTGGGTACAGGGAAGATAAGGCCTGTCCGAAAAAGGGTACCGGTTCTTTGAAGGTGGGAACCCTGCTCATGCTCAGGGGGTGGGGTCATGAAAATGGTGGGGTGATCTGATGAAGGAGTAGGGGGTAGGAGGACTTCGGCACTGAAGGAATCCAGGTCCAATAGGGATATTTTATATATGATGAAATAGGAAATTGTTTGGACCAAGTGAGGTACATCAATGCTGTAGGGAACGGGCCTACATTGAGGGTAGGGATACAACTATAGGGGTGGGTGGTGCATCGCCAAGATCGAAAGTGCCGGGTAGGGGTGGTGGATAGATGAGGAGGTGGATGCAGGGAGCAATCAAGGGAGGGAGGGAACATGGTAGAAGCAACGCGATAACCGCCGACAAGAGGAGGAGGAGAGAGAGAGGCGATGAAGGGAGAAGAGAGGGTGAGCGAAGGAACCGTACGGGATTGATCCATCCCATCGCGTTCGACAGATATGTGGAATGGCTTCCAAATGCAGGGAACCCCGATCACGAAAGGAGAGGAAACAGGAGGGAACCGAATGACTTGAGATAGCTGGTACACACAGCACTGAGAGCCAGGAAGGTTAGAATTGAGACTGAATCCGACAGAAAATGCCCTGAATGAGTTGGTTGAGAGCACCTAGTCACACTCGTGGCAAGATCCCACAAAAGCTATGCAGTCGGATATGATAGATTAGATTCACATGAAATGCAAGGTGCTAGCATGATAACATTGATCTTTTGACATGGTTACCCAGGGGATATGCACAAAGCTTGGCAGGATTCTGTTTGATGACTGAACCCAGCGAGCCGATGGCTGTGGACAGTCATTCGATTCTGTTTGAAATACCCGAAGATATGCTGATAGACTTGGTGATGGCGCGACTCCCATGTGACTACATTGGCCTTTGCGCATCATGCTGCCGAAGAATTGCGACTATTGTCACTGACGAGCGACTGTGGTATCGCCTTGCGGCGAGAGACCTGGGATCAAAGCTGTTGTTCCTGACACAAACAACAAGCTGGCGGAAACTTTACAAAGAATTGTTCTGCCTAAAATCAATGGAATGGAGGGCCATCAATCGCGAACAAGATCAAAAATGGCCCATTGCTCGCTGGGGACATTCCGTCGTTGTTCTGAATACAAACTCTTTCCTTGTATTCGGAGGGGAAGGGAATGGCGCTTTGAATGATGTATTTCAATTTGATTGCTCCAAGATGACATGGCAAGAAATATCTTGTCAAGGAGTTTATCCTGAGAAGGTGAGTGCAAGTGTCAAATGCATTTGACAACTGATACGTGGTATTCAGAGGTTTGGACATTCGTGCGTGGTCTACCAAGACCGACATGCCATCATATTTGGGGGGTCCAATGGACAGCAATATTACGACGATCTACATTGCTTAGATGTCAAGACGTGGAGCTTTTGGAAGCCTGAAACTGAAGGGGAGGGCCCCTCATCGAGATCAAGTCACAGCATGAGTATAATCGGCGATTGCGCGTATGTTTTTGGTGGTGTGGGAGGCGGAGATGGTCCATTCAGATTTCCTACGACTCTTCCAGCAGACTTTTGGAAGTTGGACTTTTCTCAGACTCCTTGGTATGGTTTCGAGCCGACCAAGATGTCACGCCACGACAACTCACCTTTGTGTTGTCAGGAAATGGAGTCGATTAGAGGTGAAAGGCACAATACCAAGTGCGAGATTTGTCCATCGTGTCGTGACTATTGATAACAAAATCTTTCTTTTCGGTGGAAGAACTTTAACGTACTTCTCTCCTCTCAGAAGGAGTGACAAAGTTGATTGACTGGCATGTGTTAGACCGCAAAAGTTCAATGATCTCCATAGCTTTGATACAAGCAACATGACATGGTATGCAGAATTTTTTCGAACATCTTGTTCGTTCGTATGTTTTTAAGTGGCTTTGACGTTTTGTTGTACAGGACAAAGCATGACGATGTTGTTGGAACAATACCCTCGCCGAGGGGAGGTTGTACACTGCTTGCGATCGGTCGCAAGGTACACATCTATGGAGACAGCAACCTTGATTGATATTTGGGTTAGATCATAGCCTTTTGTGGCAGAGCTGCGAGAGACGTCTGTCTTTACGATGGTTTGTGAAAAAAAGCTGGATGAGGCTCAAGTGACAGATGCGCCAGGTGTATACATTCTGGATACTCGAGCGCAGCCAATGAGATGGAGTCAGGTACGAACTGATTCTGTTTCCTTCTGATTGCCAGGATTGGAATCAGACTCTCATTTACCTTCGCCAGGCTGACGTATCATCAAATCATGCTCCTTCACCTCGTGGAGCTCATGGCTATGGGTGATTATGAGCATGAGGCATTGAGGATCCTCACTTCACCTGGCAGGTATATTGATGGGAATATTGTCGTCTTCGGAGGATTTGGAGCGCCCGTACCAGATCCGTGTTCAGAAGGCGAGTCAACGCAGGTTCGTGCCACGGAGATATTGAAGTGCCTTTGTAACATGAGGGATGGATGTTTGAAAATTTTAAAATTTTCTTTCAATGCGCCATTGGATTTGTCACTCACTTGCAAGTTTACAGGAAACTCCACTGGACGATATCATCTTCCTCAAGCTTGCACCTGACCAAGATTCAAGTATGAATGTTCAACCAGAAATTGTCGCTAGCAGTGATTAAGATATGCTGTATGTTTCTTTCACATGTATTCTTGCAAATGATCATTGGTGAGCCATTTCATAGAGATAAAGCCAGTGAAAACTCCTGTTTAATCCAACAAAACTCTTGCCCAACAAATACTTGGGAGAATCGTTGCCGTTTCAGTCCAAGCAGTGCAACCTCACAGTAGTTTGATCGCACGAGCTCTTCACTTGTCTCTGGATCTCTGGCTCGAGGTAAACGTTTTCATCTTCTCTTTCTGAGCATTCTCCCATTCTGCAAAGTCGCACATTGGACGAACTACCGGAACGTCGTCGGATCGGTTGGAACTCCTCCCACTCCCATCGGGGTCCTTCTCCTGCGATACGAAGCCACCCCACGGGTATCTGCGGCAAGACACGTTCTTCGCTTGAAAGAGCTCCCTCTCTTTCTTCATGAAACAAACCAGCATGTCTGATTCGTGCTGAAACCTGCTTTCTACCTTCCCGTTCCCCTTCGGATAGCGTTTGGTCCCCCTCCTATGCGCCCCGACCGCCGCATGAGGCGTTACAGAGGTATACTGTGACTTCACCATAGGTAACGGTGCCTGCCCTTTGTGAAAATTCATGCCCACCTCCTTGGGCATGCTTGCTTGCTTGCTTGGAAGCGGCGGCTTCAAGATGGCGGTCAGTCTCGTCGTTTGAAAGGAAGGAAATTTCGTTCATACCTTCTCGAGGACACGACTCTTGGCCATGAACTTGAGAGATGGTTGATGAGGTGTCGGCCATGTTTTTTCAGGCATGCTCTGATTTCTTTTTGGCGGCATTTTGGATGAAATCATGGACAGACCTTGCAAGCTAAGAATCGAAGGCTCTTGATTCCAGTCACAGTTGCATCCTTTCTTTGTCGGAACTTCACGCGTGAAGAACAAGAGGAGGAGGAGGTAGAAACGTCTCACTCTCACAGTTCAATCTCTCTCCCTCTCACAGTTCATTCTCTCGCTTTCACTCTCCCTCCTCATTCATTTCCTCCCGCCATCCCCCCCAGTTTTAAAATTTGAGTAAAGTTGAAAATCTCTCAGTTGTGCGTTGCCTCCGATCAGTCATCGCAGACTTCATCGGACTCCCCCGGCCGCCGCCCGGGCCGGCCCCGGCCCGGCAATGCCGGGTGCTCCGACTCGGAGGTGCCGTGTCAGCATTGGGCTACACTTCACGGCGGCCAGCCTCAGGCTGGCATGAGAGTGAAGGAAACAAGATGGTGGGGGGTCGGACTCGTATGCTTTCATTCTTTAGAACCTACACATCTCTCGTACATGAGCAGGTAAGCGTGTTGTTGCTCGTCCAGCACCTGAGGGGCAGTGTTAGTGAGCCACTTGAGAGGGGGGCAAGGGGGAGATGGGAGAAGACTGAGTGGATGGAAGCAGGCAGAGGAGGACTGACAAGGAAGGAGCAAGACTAAGATGAAAGCGGGAGGAGAGGTGAGGAGAGGTGAGGTGAGGAGAATGGAAAGTAAGCAGGGCAGCAGCAGCACCTCTTGCTCGAGCACAATCTCCAGGTTGTGATCGTCGAGGCGGATCCACTGGCCGGTGGGCTGCCTCACCATTGAAGTGTAGTGCCCATGATGCATCTTGCTGCCGTGATGGGAGACGACTGCCGTGCCGTCAGCGTATGCAGGGGAGGACGAGGGAGGAGGCGAGGGAGGGGAACCAGCAGCACAGGGGGACGAGCACAGCCATGGAGGGAGGGGGGTTGCGGGGGAGGGTTGGGGCAGAGGGGCAGACAGACAAGGAGCAAGGTTGAGTGTTGGAGGGAGGGAGAAGGGAGGGAGAAGGGAGGGAGAAGGGAGGGAGAAGGGAAGGAGAAGGGAGGGACAAGGGAGGGACAAGGGAGGGACAAGGGAGGGAGAAGGGAGGGAGAAGGGAGGGAGAGAGGGGTTTCACCAGCCACCAGCCTGTAATGCTGGAAGTCTTGGCCAACTCCCTTGACGCAGTATTCCTGAGATGATCCGTTAGACCTCCCGGACTTTGAGGGAGCGACAAGAGGTCAACCTCGAGTGAGAGCGTATCCGGGTAAGAGACTCGCGTTAAGATCTTGTGGGCTGACGCGCCGTCGAAGCGAAATCGTTTGAGATGGAGGACAAGAACGTCTGGTCCCTTCTCGATCTTTCATCTCCCGTCAGCAGCAGCAGCATCGTCTTCAGTCTAGGCACATACCTGAGCATGCCGTTGCGCCTTCCCCTCCTGGCATCCGTTGACGACGCCGTCCAACTGCACGTGGTCATGGAGGAAGGTCGCAAAACTGCAAGGAAGGGGAGGAAGAGGAAGATAGGGGGTGGGGGGGAGGGGGGGGGGGGGGGGGGGAAGAAGGAAAAAAGGAGGGAACGAGAGGGTCCAGGAGGATCAATAGGGGAAGGGGGTGAGGACGAGCAGGAAGAGGAGGAGGAGGAGGAGGAGGAGGTGTTGGTGTTGGTGATGGTGGTGGTGGTTGAGGAGGAGGTTCTAACCTTCTCCGGCTTAAAGTAGGAGCTGATGATTTCATGCAGGGTTACGGACTTGACGTCCTTGTGGCTCGATTCCATAGCGATGTCGAGGTTGATACACAGGAAAGGTTCTAACGAGGCAGAGGCCTTCGTAGAGCTGCAGCGTATGAGGCTACGGAGGAAGGAGAGTTCAGAGAAAGTCCCACCTGTAGCGGATTGTTGTCCTGAACTGTCCTCCGAATATTTTGGAGACGGGAGAAGTCTCCATATTCAACTAGGAAAGTATCTTCAATAAGGACATGCAAAGGGAATGGGAATGCAGAAGAGGAAGGGAAAGGGGGGGCGTGAGGAAAGGAGGGTAGGGAGGGGGGGAGCAGAGCAGAGCAGAGCAGAGCAGAGCAGAGGTAAACCTTTCGGACAAAGGTAACTTTGGCGTGTCCACCAACTTCCTGCCAGTCGTCGTCGTCGGGACTTGCATCTGCTCCCGTCGTAGAGGACCCGCCATCTTCCCCCGAACCCCCGTTCGGACCGTTGCCGTCGGCGCTCAACACTCGATTCTCGAACGATACGAACTCATCATGCAGGCAATTTAAGAGGAAGGAAAGGAACTCCTACCACGACAACGTCAGAAGTCCTAAGGAGCAGCAGACTTCCAAGTGTGCACCTGCGCGTCTTCTTGCCTCGCCTTTCCTCGTCCTGGCCTGACAGGATCTGTAGGAGCAAAGGTGCTGACAAGATCGAAAAAATAACCCGGATTCAAGGGCGTTGAGCTCTTGAGACTCCTCACTAGAACGGCTGCAGCAGCAGCATCTGTAGACGATGTCTCCTTTGCTTCTTTGTTGGCGTCCTTGACATCTTGTGACGGAGGGGGAGCAGTCTCGAGCTCAACAAACTCTGAAGCCAAGCTGACGAAGCTGGAGAGCGTCTTCAGCTCGCGAGGAATGTGAGAGTTCAGCAGGCCATGGAGAAGCTGAAAGAACGCCCGGCACCCGATCAAGCTCTGCAAGACAGCGTTCATGAAGCAGAGGTTCCCCATGTTCACCATCCCCCTCGGTTGTCGAGAAGGCAGTTCGAGATGTAGCGAAGGGTCCAAGAGAGATTCAATCTTCAACAGCACGTCCTTGTCTGTCGTACTTCCGTTTCCCCATGCTGGAGGCTTGTGCGCTTTAACCTCAGCAGTTTCGACGCCTCCTGCATCCTGATTCTCTTGCTCCCCTTCCCCCCCAACTTCTTCCTTTCCCTCCTTGTCCTTGTCCTGAGGCTCAGCACTGGTTTCACTCCTCGCTGACGCTTCAACATGCCCCTCGGCCTCTCCATTGCTAGCTACCGGGACGCTCCTCTTGGCGAGGTCAGCCCAAGACTTCGGAGGCGGCAGTGAAGATGCTGGGCCAGGAGCAGCAGGGGCAGCAGGGGCAGCAGGGGCAGCAGGGGCAGCAGGGGCAGCAGGGGCAGCAGGGGCAGCAGGGGCAGCAGGGGCAGCAGGGGCAGCAGGGGCAGCAGGCTTCACACGGTAAGCTGCCGATGCAGTTTGAGCGCCTGATGGAATCTTACTGTTGCCGTCCTGTTTGCTGTCGTGACCGCCTCCTCCAAGTGCTTTGCGCGACGGTCCCTGATTCCCCTGTCTTCCCGATCTTCCTTGGCCTCTCTTCTCCTCCCCTTTGCCCTTCGAGACAGACTTTCCATCCCGTTGTCGATCTCGCCCTCCTCTTCCTCCACTTGCACCTTTGCCGTCCCCCTCCCTCCCTTTCGTTCCAGCCTTCTGGCCACTTTTCTTGCTCCTCCCTGCCTCAATCCATCCCCTTCATCGTCATCCTGGTCGCCAGGAACATGTCTCCTATCTCCTTCCGTTCCTCCTCCTTTCTTGTTCCCTTCCTCCTCCTTCCTCTCCCCTCCCTCACGCATTCCTACCCATCGAATTCGCCATGGCACGTGCCCACGCCTCATCCCCTCACATACCCAACTTCACACTGCACTGCCTGCTGCACTGCTGCTGCACTGAGTCCGGTGCGGCACTGAGTAGTCACACTGGCACAGCCCGGCACTGAGTGCGGCCGGGTATTCAGACCGCCCGGCTGCAGGCCGCCAGTCAGGCGGCCGCAGCCTCAGCCGAGGCTCGGACCTCTCATGGCACTGGCACGGGCCGTGCGGCCGGCGCTCTGAGTCTCAGTGGCACTGTGCCGGTGTGCCGAACCGCCGGACTCGCCTGGTCAGCCCGCGGCGTCCGAAAGTCGCCCCCCCGCTGACAGTGGGGCGGCGGGGCCCGGGGCCTGGCCCGCGGCTCGGGGGAGGTGGACTCCGGCCGAGCTGCCGGCCCCGGCGGGCCGGCCCCGGCAAGCTGAGCCGGACGGTCACCCCCGGGCCCCGGTGGCCGGCCGCCCGGCGAGTGGAGAGTAACTACCGTAACGGCCTGAAACGACCCTTTCCGTCCATGCAGGACAAGGACGCATTGAGTTGACGCCCCCCGCCCGATCGTAGGCCATGCGCTGGGAACAAGCTTGAGCTGCTCCTGTGACACATCAACCTCTTTCTCCCTCCTCCCTCCTCCTGCCTACCCCTTCACTCCCCTCCCCTCCCTCCCCTCCCTCCCCTCCCCCAAGAATTCTCCAGCTTCCCTCGACCTCAGTCATAATTTTCTCAGCATTTCCTCGCTCACCATCTCCGCACTTCGACATTCTTCTCCTTCCATTTTTTTGCTGTGCCGTATTTCTCTACTTCCTCTCCCGGCTCCCCTTCAGCCCCAACTCCTTTCCCTCTGTTTGCACGCGCTGCCACGGAATGGGTTTCGCCCAGATTCCACAGCATTCGTTGAACCCTTATTGCTTTTGCTTCAACGAGTCTCCCTTTCTTGCTATGGCTCTTTCTCCTATCTGTTGATCCAACCATCACATCACATCACATCACATCACATCACATCACATCACATCACATCACATCACATCACATCACCATCGGGATCATTGAAGCACTTGTTCAAGAACAATCTGAATTCAAGTCCTAGAATTTTCAAACTTCGAACGAGAGTTCTAACCATACCCTTTGGTAGGTGAATGTATTGGAAATTTCTCTTGGTATTAATCTTCTCCTCTGCATCTGAGTCATACGTGAACAACTTTCCAAGTTTTGGGAACAGAAAGAATGTTGCTAGCCTGAGGCAACCTGTAAATTATGTCACACTCCAGTCAACTGAGCCCATTGTTGCGGTTCATGCTCCTAAGTCGTCAAGAGGATTCCATAACTATGCGGAAATCTGCATCAATCAAGGGTACGGCCTGAAGAATGGATGGAACAGATCTCCAAGAAAAAACACTTGGCGGCCAAGTTCTTCAATGCGCATGTCTGCAGATGGAATGGGCAATCAGGAGGGATTGCGCGTCTTCTTCAGCAACCTCCCAGAGGCAGCAAGGGAGGAGAAGCTGCAGGAGCTGGTGAAGCCTTTCAGTGGAGTGAAGGAAGTCAAGCTAATCAAGCCCGGCATGGGGTATGTCGTAATCGAATCACCAGAGGCTGCAGACATTGTGATCGACAAGCTGAATGGGGTCAAGGTCAACGGGAAAGCGATTAGCGTTCGACACGCAAGGAGCTATTTCATCCAGAAGCAGAACGATGCAAGGATGCAGGTGGTTCAGAACCAAAGGCAGCGGATGGAAAGCTCCAAGGCCCTTGAAGAGGAGCACGCGCGGAGGATGAGAGAGCAGCGCATCGCCAACAACTCCCCCGAGACGCAGCGGAGGAAACGAGCGGAAATCTTGGAAGAGATGAGAGCTGAAGGATGGTATGCTGATCAGAATCCGTATGTGTCAAGGGCTCCTGCAGGGCAGGTGAAGCGAGTACCTCAGAGTACTGGAAGGAGAAAGCCAACGCAAGCAAGCATGGATCCGACAGAGTTGTCGGAGGAATGGAATGAAGCTCTTGAAGAAGAGAGAAGGATACGAAACCAGGCTGTGCTTGATGTGATGAAACAGGAGGAGAAGAAGAGGAATCCCTCTCGCGTCTCTGATAACAGACGAAAGAAGTCTGAAGAACAAGATCTGTCGACAGAAGACATGGCTAAACTCGTGCATGATCGGATGCAACAGATCAAGAAGACAGAAAAATCATCTTTTGCGCAGGACTACGATGAAGAGGATGAAGAATATATGGTTGACCGTTATGATAACAGACGGGGACGAGGTAGTTACGAAGCTCCAAGTGCACGGGAGCGTTATGGCGTACGAGGCAACGCATGGGATGGCGACGATGAGGACGAAGAGGACGAAGATGACATTTGGTCCGAGTTTGACGAAGTGAATCGAGAGTACGAGGAGGAGGAGGAAGACCATGATGTTGATAATCCGGTCTGGAAGGAGCGAGCGAGAGAGCGCTGGAACGAATGGAAAGATGAACAAGGGGACGCGATCGAGGCTCTTTTCGACGATGACTTCGATCAAGGCGATTCATTGATCCCATCAAAGGCGAAGCCAGGTTTCAGGCCGCCCCGTCCTGTCGAGACAAAGCGAAAATCCCCTCTCCCTCCTCCTCAGCCAACGGAGGCCACGCCCCTCACCCCGGAGATCGCTTCTATCCTCAACATGGATGTGAGAGCTTGCTGATTCCCCTCCTGCTCTGAAAGCGTCTGTTCTTCTCGCAGGACGATGAGTTCGATGCTCTCTTCTCCAAGGGAGGAGCACGAACTCCGGCTGAGGCGGGAGCAGCACCGATGCGGGGGATGCCAGATGAGCCCCTACGATCACCGAAATCAGGGTAAGTTGGGTGAACCTCAATCTGTTCGTCTTTCTCCTGGTCTTCCTCCATCTTTCCTTCCTGGTCTTCCTCCTCCCATATCCTCCTACTGCTGCTCCATCTCCACCTCCACGTTCTCCTCGTTCTCCTCTAATTTTTGGAGGAAGATATGATGCATTGGACGATCCCAAGGGTGCTGCAGGTTCTGCCGCTAATAAGGTCCCTAATCATCTTGATATATAACAAATTCCTGAAGACGTTTTTTGGATTTTGGTATAGAAGCTTTCAAGCGAAGATGACATGTATGGATCGCCGAGCTTGGATAAGATCTTGAATATGGATGTCAGCGCAATCTTGATTCGGGCTGCTGATCTGGATCCTCATTGTTGTTGACAGGATGATGAGTTTGAAAAGCTCTTCAAGTCGGACAACTTCATGAACGATCGCCTTGAGGAGATTGATGGTATTTGCCTTGTCTTCTCGTATCCTCTGACTCACTTCATGTTATTCTTTGATGATGTAAAGATGTTTGGGAGAACGCGGAGAGACAAGCAAAGAAAGCAGCAGACAAAGAGGTGGAGGATTTTGTCCTCCAAACAGTTGGAAAACGTACAGATGGCAACAGCGGGAAGGCATCCAGAGAAATCATGACGGAAGATTCGGCAGAGGAGAAGGAGGAGGAGGAGGAGGAGGAGGAGGAGGAGGAGGAAAGGCCGGTCTTGTCCACCAGTTTTGGACCCCTGAAACGACAGGAAGAGGAGGCACGACTCGCTTTGGATGAGGCAGCCAAGCACCTGCTGGAGGGAAACATGACTGCTTACGAGCAGAGCGTCTCTCGGATTGAAGGGTCGAAGCTGAAGAGGCGACTTGGAGGAAATCTTACCCCCGGAGTGAGCAAGGAAAAGGAAGAGGAGGAGGAGGAGGTGACGTTCGGTGAGAGGGAGGCGTTCTTGGATGCAGCAATGTACGGGTGGGGGACGCTCGGGGAAGGAACTGAGCCCGTGTTGTACGACGAGCTGCTGCAAGCAGTGTCGGAGGACAACGACGGGGAGGAGGAAGCAAACAAGGCAGACGATCAGAAAGCAATCGAGGATGCCATGGGGAACAGCAAGGGAAGTCCATCGGATGGGCAAGGAGGGGATGAGACCTCGATTGGGGAGGAGGAGAAGGAGCTGGTGCAGGAGAGCCCTATGCTCGAGTTGAAGAGGGACAGGAGGGAGAAGAATGCAAACGTGCTGAAGGACATGTTTCACTCCCTTGAGGTGTGTTCATGCGATCTTGCTCTTTCCTCCTCTCCTTCACCTCCCGCACTTCTCCCTCCCTCCATGGTCCTCTGCCCCTCCTACGTTCACCCTTCCTCTCTCCTCTCCTTCTTCCTTCCTCTATGATTCTCACTCCCCCCCTACTCCCTCCCTCTCTCCTTCTCTCTCCCTTCAGCCGGCTTGCTAGTGATACCTCCTGGCTCGATTCTCGTTCTGATCTCTTCGGTCTTGATGCAGGAGGTTGGGCAAGAAGTTAAAGTTGGTGCTGCTGCAGCCGAGGGCGGCGAGCTGATGTGAGATGCTCCTCCCCTCTACCCTTCCGTCTTCTTCTTGCCAAATTATCCTCGTCCTCATCATCATCATCATCACCTCAATCATTCTTGCATCGGCTGACATTTTGAGCATGTCACAGGAGGAGCCCGGTTCCAGCTGGGGTGTACAAGGTCCTAACGGAGAACGTAACCTCCCTTTCGCCGCTGGATCAAGCAGGCGGAGTCGCGGGAGAAGTAGCAGGAGTGGGAGGCAAGTGCATTGAAGCAGGAGAGAAAGAGGGTGGGAGAGAGGGGAGAAGAAACAGGTGGGGGAAGGAGAGGGAGGAGCAGGAGGAACAGGAGGAAAGCAACATGACAAGTGCTGACTGGAAGCAGCAGAGGTGATGACGTTCAACGCTCTCCTCAGTGTCCTGCAGCGCAAGATGGACTTGAAGCTCGAGACGCTCATGTCGTCCATCGACGCGCAGGTGGTGGAGGAGGCGGTGCGTGAGGGTCGGGCTGACGGGAGCGAAGGCCATGGCGGCGAGGAAGGAGATGATCCTCGCTCAACTGACCCCTGAGGCCGTCGCTCTAACCGCCCTCATTGACGTGATGGAGGAGAAGGGCGAGGGGTGGAGTGGGGGGGGCTGGCGGGGTCGGAGAAGCGGGAAGGAGCCGGAGCGGAGAAGGAGGGGATGGGGGTCGGGAACAGGGAGAAGAGGAGGGTGGGGTGAGGGGATGGAGGCTGAGGGCTTCTCAGGTCCTAGAAAATCGAGTAGTTCCCATGCAGGATGTCCAGACCAGGATGGGACCAAGACTTCGAGTAAGAACTTGCTTCTCCTTGCCTGGATTTCATTTCAAGTCTCCTCTTCCTCCTCCTCCTCCT